TAGCTCAATACATCAAAGTCTCCAATCAAGCAAGAAGAAAGCTTCCAAGATCAAAGCTAAGTAAGTTGTCAATTAACCTTCAAACCCTAGATCCACTTTCTCTCTCTATAATTGGAGAGAATTCAGAGCTTGAACTAGAAGTGGAAAAATGAAATCATAAACTAATGGAAAAAATATGGAAAAAGTCCCTAAACAATCCCACCAAGAAGCAATTTATACTTCATTAAACTGACGTTGATATGAGCCTTGTATGACTGTACCGTGCTCGTACGAGGTCTTCTTTCGCTTCACAGCTTCGAATGTGATCCCGGCGCACGTACAACTTTCGGCCATCTCCTGTACGAGTGAAGTACGTCCGTATGGCCCTCGTACTGTGCCCAGATTTCATGCCTTTGCTACTTTTTCCCTTTTCTTACCTCCAAATGCCCTTGAAACCTCTCAAATTCTTTAAAAATGCACAATTGTCCCAAAGTTAGTCCTTAAATGCATCTTTTGTCAAAATAAAGCAATTAAGCCCATAAATCAACTCAAAAGGACTCAAACAAGGCACAAATAGACACCAAAACACCCTCCAAAATATGACATCTTTGGCACTTATCAGTTACCCTTTGAGTTTTCCCTTGTAAAGATATATTTACTTTACTAGTTGTTGGTAGAACGCGATGTCTTTGAACTGTACTGCTGTTGTGTAAAGAATGATATATCTCACATAGGAACTTATCGAACTGTACTACCCTTCCAAGCTTGGCTGTCACAATGCACACGAATGGAAGGTACATATTTTTCCCAACTGGGAATATCCTTGAGAAAATGGCGTAGCCATTCAGCCACTTCACAACATTTGTTGCTATTAGCTCGGATTCCATTATGGATCTAGCTATTACAGTTTGTTTCGAGGATTTCCAAGAGACGATTGCACCAACTAACATAAACACGCAATCACTTGTGGACTTTGAGTCCTTAATGTTTGATATCCAATTAGCATCATCATACCCTTCAAGTACAACTAGATATCTCATGTAGTGCAGTCCAAGGTTACGAGTATGCCTTAGCTTTCTTATAACCCTTACAGCACGTTTGGTTCACGGAATGAATTTGGAGGGAATAAGAATGCAATTCCACAGGGAATGGAATATGTAAGGAATAGAATAGAAATTGTATTCTATTGTTTGGTTCGCTGAATGAATAGACTTTAGTAATTGTATTCCAGTGTTTGGTTGGTTAAAGGAATAGAAATGGAATAAGTTTTAAAGACACAAATACCCTTATACAAAATAATAATAATAATAATAATAATAATAATAATAATAATAATAATAATAATAATAATAATAAAATATGATTATGATATATATATATATATATATGTGTGTGTGTGTGTGTGTGTGTGTGTGTGTGTGTGTGTGTGTGTGTGTGTGTGTGTGTGTGTGTGTGTGTGGAAGGGATCAGGTGCATTTATTGCTTCCTGTGCGCATGTGCGGTGGATTAGTGTGCGTGAGGTTTATACTTAATGTGCGTGAGATTTGTACTCAATGTGCCTGAGATTTGTACTTAATGTGCGTCATGTTAATATGCGTCAGTTTTGTACTTAATGTGCCTGAATATTGTGTTTAATGTGCGTGAGATTTGTGCTTAATGTGTGAGTATATTTAAGAATTACGAGCTCAGAAGGACGCAGAACAGAAACTCACGCACATTAACGCCCAAGCTTCGTGTTACTTCTTCCTTCAATTTGGCCATGGATTCTGGATTATCAACTACCTTCAGTGCAGTTGAATGTTTATATAAATGATGCACGCACAGTAAAATTTGCACAACAACTAAGTGTGGATTTCTGTTGTATTATTCCCATAATTTTTAACCACCATAGCTCGCCTCCGCATCATCATCATCAGGGAGGGGGCAAATGGCTACTGGGATGGGGAAGAAGCTGACATCAATATTTTCTGCTGCATTTTACACATTCATGCACATTAAGTACAAATCTCAGGCACATTAAACACAACACTCACGCACATTGAGTACAAATCTCACACACATTAATCCACCGCACATCCGCACGGGAAGCAACAAATGCACGTGAACCTTTCACTATATATATATATATATATATATATATATATATATATATATATATATATATGCATGTGTGTGTGAGAGAGAGACTAATAATAATTAATAATAATAATAATAATAATAATAATAATAATAATAATAACAAATTATTATTATTATAATAAAAATATATATTTATATTTATATTTATTTCTCCACTTATCCCACATCGGTTGTAGAAGTGAAGAATGGAGCCTTGAGGATCTTATAAAAGTAGCCTCAAGACTCCATAATTTCAATTGCAATGCTCATCCGCTAGGCAAGCTTGCAATGCCCATTCGCTAGGCATGCGGGTGGGCATGCTACATAATTTAGGAGTCAATGTTTCATAATTAAGGAGTCTTATACAGTTTATATATATATATATATATATATATATATATATATATATATAATTTATATAAATACATATATTTATTGATAGATTGATAGATAAAAAATTATAATTAATTATTAAATATATACAATTATATAATACATTATATTTATTAAACAAATATAAATATTAAATAATGTGCAAATGATATTTTTGGTATTTGTGATATAAAAGCTATTCCCAAGGGCATGTGAATAGCTAATACCAAGGCCCCCCTAGGAATGGCTATTCCCCTTGCAAAGGTAATAGCTCATTCCTAGTAATGTTATTCCCATGACAAAATGATCCAACCAAACAACGGAATAGGTATATTCCAAGGAATGTTATTCCATTCCGGACCTATTCCATGAACCAAACATGCCATTAGAGCAACCCCAATAGTGGGGTTGTTCACGGTATTTGAGAAAAACAAGCCATGGTGGATGAGAGAGAAATAGGTGAGAGAAGATGTGAGTTGCTTATGTTATTTTTGAGGTTTTGTCAGTAGTGGGACCCATCATATAAGAACAAAGAAATGCAGCTGAATGCGTGAAGGCCAATTTGCGCCCAGCCTGGCGCGTTAATTACAACCTTTGTTTTTTTTTTTTTTTTTTTTTTTTTTTTTTTTTTTTTTAATTCAACTTTTCTTTTGTTTTTTTTTTCTCCATTTTTTATTTCATCTCATTTTCTCTTTCCTAATCACACTTACAAAAGCTCCTCAAAAATCACACCAAAATTCCTACTATTGAGAATGCCCTTACAATTGCCTTCTAGTGCATATCACCGGGGTTACTCGTATATCTACTTGTTAGTTCGGAATGATCTAAATATTTATAAAAAAATAATTTCTTTTACTATTTTACATGTTTGAAAATTAATATATGTATCCAATAAAATGATAATATCAGCTAATGATCAATATGTGTAACGTAACTTATATACGTCTAACATTGCTCAAATGAAAAATAAAAAGAGCCTAAATTGATCATTCATTATTAATAACATAGGAGCCTTGATTATTTTAACATCCCAACCCAACACATGCAAGCCCAACGGAAGCAGAGCAAATGTGAATTGTGATCCAAACATATATCTTGGATCATGGCCCATCCTGATTAGTGTGGATCGTGGACCAAAAATTAAGTGTCTACCTTTAAAATATTATATGTTTTCAATTAATAAATAATGCAGTCGTTATATTGTAGACTTCGGTGCACATGCACCGCGGTAAAAAACGGCGTCATTTTTTTAAGTAAAGAAACGGCCCGCCGTTACCGTTAACGGAATCCGCATGTTTGGTATATTAAACACCAACTAACACTACAGTATATCTAAACCGGCACTGCCTCTCGACAAATGAAACTGCAGTTATATCAAAATGATACTGCAGTTGTGGTGAAATGAAACTGCAGTGCATATAAAATGAAACTGAATAACATTTCACATATTTGAGTATATATATTGTACAATGAAACTGTAATTATATCAAAATGATCATGTAATTGTGTTTTAATAAAACTATAGTGTATATAAAATAAAATTAAATAACATTTTCACATATTTGAGTCTATAAATATCGAATGAAACTGTAGTTATATCAAAATGAAACTGTAGTTGTGTTAAACTGAAACTGCAGTGTATACAAAATGAAACTGAATAACAGAGTCACTTTTTGCAGAAGGATACGGAACAGCGGAAAACAAATGCCGTTTCTTTTCATTTAACAAAACGACGTCGTTTTGATGCACGGTGCATAATTGATTATGCACCGCGGTGCACGATATAATTTGCCTAAATAATGCATGTGTATGTAAATAAATTAAAGTCATATAATTTGTTACCAAGGACATTGTGGTGTAGTGGCATGGAGTGGTTCTTCTTTGTTCTCCAGTGGTTACATATAAAAATAAAAAAGGAATTTTACTCGAGGACAACCGGTGGCTGAATTATTTTTTTTAATAAATAAATAAAAAGTTTTTTTAAAAATAAAAATAAAATAATATTTTAAAAGTGACACGTGTCAAGCTTGCGAAGAATTAACTTGTTATACATGTTGATTTGGACTCAATTGAATTATTTTACAGATTTAGGGAATCTGAATGGATTTTTTTCTTTTACTTAGGAGACCAAATTGTACTATTCGAATGACTTAGGAGTCAATTTAACACTTTTTATGTTTCCTTTCACGGTAAAGATTATATCGGTGGATTAGATTGGGGGTTGGCTAAATGGCTAATTCAAACCATTTGACTTCAACTCATCAGCATTGATGCAATTTCAACAATCAATGGAGGTTGGAGACTGACCATTGAGCACAGATTTGGCATTTTGTGAATTTCTGTTCCAAGATTTCACACAATTAAGGTTGGTTTTTTATCCTAAAACGCCGTGAATGCGAAGCTGAGAAATAATATATCACTACGGAGTTGAAAACAAATGCAATTTTTATAGTTTTTGTCTGTACTGTCAAATCTCAGGTATAAAAACCAGTCAGATGATCACCCTTTTCACCACGATCTTCAACATTACATTACAGTACCAGCGAATTGAATATCGAAAACCATGAAAGCCTTTCTCTTTGCCATGCTGGCTCTTGCCTGCATAACAGAATCTTGCATGGCCGCGAGCAGGCTCGCGGCGGCCGGAGCTTGCTCGCCGAGCGGCAAGATACGAGGAAAAAAGCCGCCGCCGGGGGAATGTAACCAAGAGAACGGCTCAGACTGCTGCAAGCAAGGAGAAATGTACACTACCTATAAGTGCTCACCTCCGGTCACCGGAAACACCAAGGCCACTCTCACCCTCAACAGCTTCCAGAAAGGCGGCGATGGAGGCGGCCCGTCGGAATGCGACAACCAGTACCACTCAGACGACACGCCCGTGGTGGCGCTTTCCACCGGATGGTACAGCGGAGGGAGCAGATGCCTGAATCACATCAAGATCAGCGCTAATGGAAGAAGCGTGACGGCTATGGTTGTGGACGAGTGTGACTCCACGATGGGGTGCGACGATGAACACGATTATCAGCCGCCTTGTCAGAACAACATTGTGGATGCTTCTAAGGCTGTGTGGGAAGCTTTGGGGTTAGACCAGAATGAAGGAGAGCATGATATCACTTGGACTGATGCCTAATATAATTACCTGCTATTCTTATAGCTTGCATTGCGGATTGTATGTCTATATATACATGGATCATTGTATGTCTTATGTAGGATGATGTGTGATATTAATAATAAAAGTATTTTTATGGATAAAATTGATTTTACCATAGATTAATATGTAAATAATATCGATTATGCCTAGTGATAGGATATATTGGAGACGTGTTCGAACTTCGGAGTGAACCAACCAAGAGGTCAGTGGGGGCCTCAACTCGGCCAAGCCGACCGAGGCTTGGTCAAATGAAGACCGTAATTGCGCGCCTATTTCTCTCAGCGTAGTTACAGAGGGAGCCAAGTACTAAAACATAAGGCAGTTTGTCTCTTCCAAGCTTGGTATATTATCTTCATATTCCCTTTATATATATATGGCATACAAGCTCGAACTTGCTTCCTATTTTCAAATTTTCCATAAGATTGGCAAGGTTCAATTCTCGTGACACCAATCTCACCCTAGGTGGAAACAACGTCAACGAGGACGCGAGTCGGAAAAACCTCCCCAATAGGGTCAGTAGGGACCTACATGATCAATTGAATAACAATCACAATGGGGGACCAACCCCAATTGACCTAATTCTGACTCTGGGCCTCCAAGACGAGGTGGTTGTGATCCAACAAGCTACGACCTTGTTTACCCGGCTCGTCGAAGGGATTCAAGGCGTGGTGCGACCCCATCAAATCAAATCGAAACTAAGGCGCCATATGTTATTACGCAAGGTCAAGTCAACCCCAAACCCTTTCCTTTTCGAGGATGAGTATGACGTCGGGAAACTGGCCTTCACAAACTTAACACAAGAGGCCCAATCCGAGCTCACGTCGAAGGCCTCATCCTTCCCCACGAAACCCAACCACCCGCACCACAAAGAGGTTATGATTTTGTTGGGCTCATGTCAAAGGGGAATAGAGGTCCGACCCCAAGTGTCGACCTCAATTTCCCGAAAGGGGTGAGAGGTTCGGGCTCACCTCGACTTGTGCCCGAGTTCACTTGTGACGAGCCTACCTTACTTGGGCCTAGGGTTGAGCCAAGCTACCTTGTTTGGGCTTATAGCCAAGCTCGGGTACTTTATGACGACGAGCTCACCTTGCTTCGACTTGCAGCCAAGCTCAACTTGCTTGTGCCCCACTCATGATTGCCAAGCACATATTGTAAGACTTGACTTTTCCGCGAAGCCCAGGTCATGATTCTTCGACCTCATGCTGAAGGGATTACCTCTCTCTTGGAAGTTGAGGTCATGATTTTTTATTCACTCTGAACAAGTATAGTGGTATTCGAAACAAATAAAAATAAAATTTGTTTTTGATCATCCTTAGATATTGGGGGTTTGGTTAGCCAAAGAAGATCTAGCTAGACACAAGCTCTGAGCAATTTATGAAAGCTAAGCAAGTAATAACATGATGGAGGTAGGTTAAACATAGGAATAAAAATAATGATAGAAAACTAGGGATTGGAATGAGTGTTATTGGTTTGATGCCATGGATCAAGGGATTGAGGGCTAGAAACTTCACCATCGGGTTCAAGACTACCAACTCCAAATTGGTTGACTAACACGTCACTCTCATGATCTAATGTTAGACCAATTCGGTAAACGAAGGTTGTCGTCCCACTCTCGTGACGCTACCAATAGTCTAGACCTTCAACACTCCATACTCTCGTAAGTGAGCCTGAAGGTCATGAGATGTGGTATTAGGAATAATGACAATGGAATGACGACCCTAGGGGTGTGATAAACCGAGGACTCCTTGCCTATTCGGCTGCGAAAATTTCATACTATTATTAGTTATTTAATTATTATTATTTTGTTATTATATTTTTAATAGAAAAAATGTACAAATAGGCCATTGAATTATTTGTGGGAAAAAAGAGCAATTGATATTTTTAGCAGGTTAACAACAAGTTTCTGCTGATTAGGATGTCATGTGTATTTATTTATTTATTTATTTATTATTATTATTATTATTATTATTATTATTATTATTATTATTATTATTATTATTATTATTATTATTATTATTATTATTATTGTTATTGTTATTGTTATTGTTATTATTGTCATTATTGTCATTATTATCATTATTATCATTATTATCATCATCATATTACTTAAGCATTTGACCCTTTAAAAAAAATCAGAAAGCTTAGAATTTAGTTTCATTATTAATTTGTGCTGTGGAGATACTGAACGCTTATGGTGTTCTAGCATCCTCATTAATTTTCTTCATAAAAGCAAATTTTAGGTTTATTTAGAGATTGCATTTTGTTAGATCTATTAGTATTGTGGTTTATTTTGGTATATATTATTAGGACTATGTTATCCATATTAGACTAGGACTATATTATTCATGTTAGACTAGGATTCTATCTAGTACCTATATATTCGCTCTTTGTACTCTCAGACATTACGATTGAATACAACACAAATATATTCTCATCTGGTATCAGCTTCCAGGTTTTCTCTAAGGGAAGGTCTCGGTTTCCCTGATGATGGCTCTGTTCGATCTTCTGAACGGACCATTACCGAGACTTCCCCTATGACCACTGGGAATAGCTTCTCATCGGCTCATCACTTTATTTCTTTAAAGCTGACCTCCCATAATTATCTCTTTTGGCGGACGCAGATGCAACCGTTTCTTGAAGGTCAAGGTCTTCTCGGCTTCATCGATGATAGTCTACCGTACCCGATCACAGCGCCGGTTTCCGCCACCGACACCGCTGCCTTGACTGCCAACAGTCTCACGGCAGCGAGCAAACTCGTCGCTCGGCAGGTAGCTTGGAGGAGACAAGACAAGGCTATCTTGTCCCTCTTAATTTCGTCTCTTTCGGAGGAGACGATGTGGTTCACCGTTGGTCAGTCTACTTCCCGGCAACTGTGGCTCACCATCGAACAATCTCTTGCCTCTTCCTCGCGTTCTCGGGGTTGCGGTTATTCGGTGAATTGCAAGCCCTTTGGCAAGGTGATTTTTCCATTGCAAATTATATTGGTCGTGCACAGTTGTACGTTGATGATTTAGCTCTTGCCGGTCGTGATGTTACGTCTTTCGCGGCTTGTGATCTGAGTTTCGTCCGCTTGTAGCAACCCTAGCTCGGGGTGCTGTAGTTCCGCTTGCAGAGGTGGCGGATTTCTTGGTGTCACAAGAGTGGATCTGCGCTGCTGATGGAGACGGCGGGGTACCGCCGGTTGCGATGGTCGCTGGTCGAGGCGGTGCGGCCCCTAGCCACGGTGGTCGTGGCAACGCGACACAGCAGCACGGTCGCGATCGAGGATCGGGCGGCGGCAGACGCGGTCGCGGGCGCGGGCGTGGCTCGAGCACGGGTCCTCGATTCCAAATATGCAACAATCAAGGACACGAGACTCTCTCGTGTTGGCATCGTTACTCCACCTCCCCGGCTCCTCAGGCGAATGTGGCTGTCTCTGGTGAGAATGGTGATTACACAGGTCCACATAAGTGGTTTCCAGACACTGGTGTTACGAATCATGCTACACCTGATTCGTCCTTGATGACTTCCGCAACAAGTTATGATGGCCCGGAAACTTTGCGAGTCGGTAGTGGTACATGTTTGCCTGTTGTTAATGTTGGTTCTGCTTCGTTAGCCATTAATTCTAGATCATTTACATTGTGTGATGTTTTGCATGTCCCTGGTCTCTCTACTTCATTATTATCTGTTCAGCGTTTTGCCAAAGATCATAATGTTTTCTTTGAGTTTCACCCTCTTTGTTTCTTTGTGAAGGACACTTTGATCAAGAAAGTCCTTTTTAAAGGGCATGCGTCCGGAGGTCTTTATTCCTGGCCTGCGTCTTCTCCTGCTCCAACTGCTTTTGTTGCTGTGCGCTCGTCCTTCGTTTGGCATATGCGGTTGGGGCATCCACACTCTCGAGTCTTACGCAAAATTTTAGAGTCTTCGTCTGTTAGTACATTTAATTCGAAAGATCTTCCCAATGTTTGTTCCTCTTGTCAATTGGGAAAATCATCTCGTTTTCCATTATCTCGTGTTGAAACTACTAGTACACATCCTTTCGAATTAATATATTATGATATTTGGGGCCCTGCGCCGTTACTTTCTGCGAATGGCTTTAAATATTTTGTGTTATTTGTGGATGATTACACACGATATATATGGTATTATCCGATGCGTGACAAATCTGAATTATATGGCATATTTGATAAGTTTCAGTTACTCGTTGAACGTTCTTTTTCTCGCTAGATTATTTCTTTTCAATCTAATTTAGGGAGAGAATATAAGAAGCTTGGTTTCACCCTTTCTTCTCTAGGTATTTATCACAGGAAGTCTTGTGCGTATACTCATGAACAGAATGGACGGGTGGAGCGCATGCATCGTCATGTTGTTTAGACAGGACTGTCCTTAATGGCTCAAGCATCTGTTCCTTCTCGTTTCTGGGACTATGCTTTTGAGACTGCTATCTGTCTTATAAATAAAATTCCCACTCGTGTTTTGTCCGATGAGTCACCACACTTTCGTTTGCATCGTTCTCCCCCATCCTACTCTTACTTGCGGGTATTTGGTTGTTTGTGATTTCCTGTATTGCGTCCATATAATTGAAATAAGCTACAATTTCGTTCATCTCCTTGTATTTTTATGGGTTACCCCCCGTCTTATCGTGGCTATCGTTGTTTAGATACTAACACTAACAAGGTTTTTATCTGTCGCCATGTGCGGTTCGATGAGGCAGTGTTTCCTTTTATTTCTCATATTGCCTCGCAGGTTCCTAAGCCACGATCCGAACCGTGGGCCACCGCACCAGTTGTGACGAGGCGAGGGAATGATGTCTCGGCCACTCTTGTTGATGGCAGTCGGCAGGTTGACGAGCCCGTGTTGGCTTCTGGCCATAATGACAGTGCTGGTCACGAGCAGTCCATATCGAGTGAGCGGACTGTCTCAGACCAGCAGGATGAGCAGCGCGGCAGACCGCGCGGACGTCCTCGGCGATCCACTCCGCCTCCTCGGTCGTATGACATTAACACTCGTAGCTCGGGTCCGCATCAACATGTTGCCTTAACCACTACTTCCACCGTGGTGTCTGAGACTACCTGTTATTCTCAAGCGGTCAAGTTTCCTGAGTGGCGTGATGCAATGGATGCAGAGTTCAATGCCTTGGTTCATAATCATACATGGTGTTTTGTTCCTTCTCAACCAGGTATGAATGTTGTTGGTTGCAAATGGATTTTCAGAATCAAACGGAAGGCCGATGGTTCAATAGAACGTCATAAAGCATGGTTGGTGGCCAAGGGTTTTAATCAGGTTGCTGGAGAGGACTTTTTTGAGACATTTAGTCCTGTGGTTAAACCCACTACGGTACGTCTTCTCTTATCTTTAGCCGTATAGCGTGGGTGGTATATTCGCCAGTTGAATATTCACAATGCTTTTTTGAATGGCGAGCTAGCTGAGATTTTTTACATGCACCAGCCACCTAGTTATGAGGATCAGTCATTACCTGATCATGTGTGTTTGCTTAAAAAATCTCTCTGCGGTCTCAAACAGGCCCCGCGTGCATGGTTCACAAGGTTACATGATTTTCTAGTCTCTGTGGGCTTTGCGCCCTCAAAGACTGATGTGTCTCTTTTTATCTATTCTCGTGATAATGTTCGTTTTTATTTCTTGGTGTATGTTGATGACATTTTGATTATGGGGTCTGACTCAGACCGTGTTACTGCTCTTATTGATAAATTGGCGCTTGAGTTTAAAGTTCGTGATATGGGTGTGCCTTCATTCTTTTTGGGAATTGAAACTGTCCCGTTATCTGGTGGTATGCTTTTATCTCAACAATGGTACAGGAAGGATATTCTCAAACGTGCTGGCATGGTGGACTGTAAGCCAGTGGTCACGCCTGTCTCTGCCGCGAAAACCGCCGACGATGTTGCCACTCCCTATGCCGATCCAACACAATACAGAAGTCTTGCTGGTGCTCTCCAATATCTTACGGTAACTCGTCCTGATCTGTCTTATGCTGTTAATTTCTTGTGTCAACATATGCATGCTCCTACTACTACGGGCTGGGCCTCTCTAAAAAGAGTCCTGCGATATATCAAAGGCACCCTACATTTTGGTCTGTGTATTTCTCGGTCTGCATCGATGGATATTCACGCCTATTCTGACTCAGATTGGGCTAACGATCCGAATGATCGCAATTCTACTAGTGGTTTTGCTGTGTTCTTGGAGAGTAATCTTATATCTTGGGTTTGTCGGAAGCAATGAACAGTGACACGTTCTTCAACTGAAGCAGAATACAAGGGTCTGGCTGATGTATCTGTTGAGGTTACATGGCTTGTTTCTCTGCTACACGAGATCGGCATCCCCCCTGCGTCTCCTCCTCGACTATGGTGTGATAATTTTTGAGCTACTTACTTATGTGCCAATCTAGTGTTTCATGCCCGCACGAATCACATTGAGATTGATTATCATTTTGTTTGCGATAAAGTAGCCAAAAATGAGTTAGAGGTGCACTTTATTTCAACCAAGGATCAACTAGCAGATATCTTCACCAAGTCTCTTTCGTCTATTCGTGTTAATTCTCTCCGTGACAAGCTCAATGTTTTGGCTAGCCAACCTTGTGCTTGAGGGGGATTATTAGGACTATGTTATCCATATTAGAGTAGGATTATATTATTCGTGTTTGACTAGGATTCTATCTAGTATATATATATTCGCTTTTTGTACTCTCAGACATTACGATTGAATACAACACAATTATATTCTTATCTATATGATGCGGTAACTGGTAAGCGTCTCTTTTCATAGAGATTCAAGACCTTATTAATCGAGTGAGTATTCGGGTTGCTTAGTGTCAACTTAGTAGGATTAGGTATTAATCAAAAAAATATTGTTACTCTTGTGCATTTTGTTTCAAATGTGCACCATGATTGATGGATTTTGAATTTGTTTATTTCAAATAAGTTCAGGGAATAGAGAAGCTATAGTTGATGGTCAAATGTTTTTATTTTTAGTAGTGTCAAATGCTTAGTAGGATAATAATTAAATAAAAATAAAAAATACATATGGCATTCTAATTAGCGAAACTTGTTGTTAACCTACTAAAAATGTTAATTGCTTTTTTTTCTTAAGTTCATAGATCAATTTGGAACTTATATTAAGTTCCGTGACTTAATCGCTATCCCCAAATAGTTCAATAATGACCTATTTGTACCTTTTCCCTTTATAATATAATATGAAAGTAAGACTACTTTTGAAAGTGAGAGAATATTGTTGTATGTAGAGAAATTGGTGGAAAAATTACAAATTTATTGATGTGGAAGTGAGACCATTTTTTAAAGTGAAAGTATTGCAGAGATAAATATAGCCTAACGTGTTAATCTGTAATTTCTATTAGTTCGTTGTTCAGGTTAACTTTTGTAGGATTAATGTGTTATAAGTAAAATTAGTGTTGTAATATGTAAATCCAATTATAAATTAAAGACATTAATATATTAGAATATTTATTTAACTATTCTTAAAATACTTTTTATTATTAATATCTCAACTCATATATCGTACATAACATATAAGCTAGAATGATGCATGTATATATATTAGGCATCAGTCCAGGTGATATCATGCTCTCCTTCATTCTGGTCTAACCCCAAAGCCTCCCAGACAGCCTTAGAAGCATCCACAATGTTGTTCTGACATGGCGGCTGATAATCGTGTTCATCGTCGCACCCCATCGTGGAGTCACACTCGTCCACCACCATAGCCGTCACGCTTCTTCCATTAGCGCTGATCTTGATGTGATTCAGGCATCTGCTCCCTCCGCTGTACCATCCGGTGGAAAGCGCCACAACGGGCGTGTTGTCTGAGTGGTACTGGTTGTCGCATTCCGAGGGGCCGCCGCCGTCGCCGCCTTTCTGGAAGCTGTTCAGGGTGAGAGTGGCCTTTGTGTTTCCGGTGACCTGAGGGGAGCATTTGTAGGTGGTGTACATTTTGCCAGCCTTGCAGCAGTCTGAGCCGTTCTCTTGGTTACATTCCCCCGGCGGCGGCTTTTTTCCTCGTATCTTGCCGCTCGGCGTGCAGTCTCCGGCCGCGGCCAGCCTGCTCGCGGCCATGCAAGATTGTGTTATGCAGGCGAGAGCCAGCATGACAAAGAGAAAGGCTTTCATGGTTTTTGAGCTTCTTGTTTTCTCTGTTAATGTTGAAGATGGTGGTGATGAAAAGGGTGATCATCTGACAGGTTTATATACTTGAGATTTGGCAGAAAAAAACCATAAAAATTGCAATTGTTTTCAACCCTTTAGTGATATATTATTTCTCAGCTTTACATTCACGGCGTTCTAGGATTTAAAAACAACCTGAATTATGTGAAATATGGGGATAAAATGCCAAATCTGTGCTCAATCAGTCTCCGCTGATTATTGAAATTGCATAGTGTTGTAGAGTTTATCAGTTTAATTAAGTCAAATTGTTTGAATTAGCCAACCAATCTTTACGGTGAAAGGAGACATTATTACATTAACAAATCACAAGTTACTGTCATGATTCAATTGGCAATTTGTGGAAGACCAAAAGACAACTGATCCGTAGTTTTTTCTTTATTTTTCCCCCTTAATGTTAAGATCACAATTCACATTTGCTCTGCTTTCGTTGGACTTGCATGTTTTGCGTTGGGATGTTAACAACTTAAAATAATTTAGGCTCCAATATGTTATTAATAATACATGATCAATTTGGCTTCTTTTTTTTTTTTTTTTTTATTATTTTTTTTATTTTTCATATCAGCAATGCTAGATACTCCTACATAAGTTATATTATATTTATTGCGGTTTGATTTTGTTTTTACTGAATAGATACATTATTTTTTGTTCAAAGCAACATTTTACTGAATACATGTAACGTTTTCCTTATGTTATTATTGTTATTATTAAGATTATAATAATAATAATAATAATAATAATAATATTAAGTAAATATGTGGTGCAAATCAATAGGCTGAATAAGTATTAAAACTTAGTCAGCATTAGGTAATTAGTTGTCTATATTGATGGGATGTAGGTGTTTAGACTCCCAAGTCCTCCCACTGCTCGGTTGACGTATCATACACTATCTAGAGTCACTGAGAGAAGTGAGAGAAACACAATCAGTCTACGGTGATTTCACAGCAGCCCGAGGATCTCCAATTCGTCAGACCATGAGTTCAGGTGATCAAGGTTCTAAGCTATGGCTGGTGGTTAGTGGATCTAACTCGTTTATTTATTGCCACGTATAAAGTGTTCTCTACGTGGATTATGTGCTTACATTTGGTATCAGTGCCATTTTTAATCTCTGCCTAGTTTTTGATTGATTGCATAATCTACAGTTTGTTTTACATATGATATACATTCTTGTATAATTTAGGATTTGTGTGTAATTTACAATCATATCTGTTGGGCTGCTGGAAAATATTTGTGTAATTTTTTTTTCCGCATTAAGATAAATTTTTTTTTTTGATTGGATTTTACGTACTGCTACCTGCACTGTTCATCGCCATTTTTTGGGTTCGCCGGATTTTAGCTTACCGGTAGACCATCATTGAGGGAGGAAGGCGCTGGACTTTTGTTTACTAAAAAAAAAAAAAATTTTGCTCTCCGTTGTTCTCCACTTCTTTTCCGGTGATGACGGGTGGTTTCCGGCTGACTGTTCGCGAAGAGGCCGGCGGTGGTGGCGGAGCCGGGTTTTCCCGGTGATGACGCCGCTGCTGTTTCCTCCTTCAGGCGACCGGTAATTGCTGGACGTTTCGCAACGGCGGAGGCAGGCGCATGGTAGCGGCGGTGGTTCGCGAGTGGTCAGGCGGTGGTGGCGGAGTCGGGGTTTCCCGACGAGTCACACGACCGGCGACCTTCACTGTTACGCGTCTGATTCACCTTTTCGCCGTTCGCATCGCCGTTCGAATCACCTGTTCCCACTGCTGCTAGGTTTGGTAGCAGATGAAGAAGATGATGTATTAACTCATGGGCCGGGTCTGGCCCAATTCGGCCAGACCTGGTCCTTATTATTAAAAAAATAAAAAATCAGTTCTGGGCCTGTTTATCCTTAAGTCCATTGGGCTTCCTGAAATTTTTTTTAATTTATCATATTTGGCTTCTTCTTATAGGTTTTATCCAAATGATTTTTTTTTTTTTTCCTAAAGTTGATATTAAATTATAATTCTTTTGAACAAATTATTAAGTTTCAATTTGTTTGAATTTTAATTTAATATTGAATTTCAGTTTAAATTGTATTAAGTGTTACAATTTAATTGTGGAGCATGAGTTATAATATGCATAATCTGAGCATGTATTTTTACTGTTTTACTGCACTAATTATTTGATTGTTATAATTATGCATATGTTAAAAAAGCATGTTCTTTAAGTATGAATTTAGTGCCTTTTAGGTCTGAATTATATGCCTATTATGCATGTTATAGTGCCTTTTAGGTGAATTTGTGCCTTTTAAGGATAGATTAAGCATATTATTTTACTCATTCGGTTATTGCTCCGTTCGTGTCTTTCTAAAACTATAAAGCACATAAAGTACATCAAAGTTCTAGTTTACCCAAATTTAAAGCCTTATCCATAGGTGTATAACCATCTTATAGATCTTTCAAACAATTTTACTTCAAATATGAGAACACGTGACTTAGGGAAGTTTCCTGGGGAGGAATACTAGTTCTATGGCCCTGGCTTAAAAGCCTTGTTGCTACTAGTCCCTTGCGACGCTACTCTGTCTAAGGAGTTGGTATTTAACTGAGCTTCGCCTCGACCAACTTTCCTGGGAGTATACGTAAAGATTGTCTATCATGTTTTGGTTTAATTTGTTTGCTAGGCTTTAAATTACCCTTTCCCAAGTGATTACAATTTTGTAATTAAAGAGTAGCCAGAGCATCTTTAATTGCTTAAATTGTATTTAGATTAACTCACATAAAGAGTTGGCAATATCCTTGTAATTAATTTTATATGATATGGCAAAATTTAGCCCACATGCAATTTTGTTGTATTTGTAGGATTGATTAGGATGAAATGCCAGACTATGATCATAATTTGCCCACAAGGATTATGTATCGGCATATAGTTTTGGTAGTTTTGTCATCAAGGGTGGAAAAATCCAAACTGTACCCATTCCGTTTTTCACCATTCAGTTTTGGTAAATTCATTATGTGTAAAAATTTAGCCCATAGGCAATTTTTATGGCATTTGAATTTATCTTTTGCATAAGTTTGCATTGGCAAAATATGCACTTTAGTCCTTTTGTGCCTCGAAAATCAAAACTAACAAACTCATAATTTTCTTTCAGCAACTATCCCAACTGTCTCGCCCATTAATGTTCTAATGCTTACTGCTAATAATCATAGAGAATGGAAAGATGCGCTCCTGATTTATTTTCGCATGCTCAAAGTGGACTATGCTATCAACCATCCAGAGCCCCCGACTATCACCGCGACAAGCACTCAAGAAGCCAAAGAACTTTGGGTTAAATGGGAACGGGCCAATCGCCTGTGCATCTCATTAAGTCTTGGATTCCGAGTGATATTCATCACACGGTTGATAAACTTACAAAAGTTCAAGAGTGTATTAAGGCCATTGACAAGAAGTTTGAAACTTCAGACAAATCCCTAGCAAGCACCTTAATAATGCAATTCACCTCCCTTCGTTTTTCTCCTGTCGATGGTGTGCGCAGTCACATCATGCAACTTAGTGATATTGCAGCTCTACTTGACAAGTTGGAGATTAAACTTCCAGACTCATTTGTGGTGCACTTTGCACTAAATACTCTCCCTTCTGAGTATAGCACCTTCAAAATTGCTTATAACACACATGACACGAAATGGTCTGTTAATGACCTAATCCAAAAGTGTGTGCAAGAAGAAGGGAGACTGCGTCAGGAACAAAGGGGGGAGAGTGCCATGCTTGCAACAGCCAAGCCTAAAGGGAGATCTGGAAATTAAAGCGTCCCACTTCAGCTAAAGGGAAAGCAAAATTATCCCCTCAGACTGACATTAAGAAGGCACAGAAATGCTTCTTCTGTAAGAAGAAGGGGCATATGAAGAAGGACTGTGCAAAGTTTAAGAAGTGGATGTCTGAGAAAGGTATGATCTCTTCCTTTGTCTGTTTTGAATCCAATATGTCAGACATTAATGCTAACACTTGGTGGATTGATTCTAGTTCAACAATCCACATTGCAAATTCTTTACAGGATATGCAAAATCTGAGACAACCGATGTCAAATGAGCGAAACATCTTCTCCGGAAATAAGATGGGCTCGCCGGTTGAAGCTGTAGGGACTTTTGCAGGATGATTTTAGATAGTGGCTTTGTTTTGGAATTAGAGATGACATTTTATGTACCAACTTTTTCACGAAATTTGGTTTCCATTTCAAGATTTGTACCGTTGGGATTCAGTTTTAATTTTTCAGACAAGTATTTTAAATTATTTAAGAATTCTACTTATATTGGAAATGGTACATTGTCTGATGGTCTTTATCGTCTTCACTTACAAAACGATGCAAGTTATGATTCCTTACATGTTCAAACTAGCACCAAACAGTGTAGTATTAACAATAAATCTTCAATGTTGTGGCATCAGAGATTGGGACACATCTCCCTTGAGCACATTAAAAGGTTGGTAAAGGATGTGGTACTTTCTACTCTAGACTATATTGACTTTGAGATTTGTATACACTGCATTAAAGGCAAGCAGACTAACAAGTCAAAGAAATGTGTCAATAGAAGTTCAACATTGTTAGAGATAATTCATACTCACATATGCTGTCCAGATATGGATATGCAGGGTCAGAAATATTTCATTACCTTTATAGATGACTTCTCTAGATTTACCTATGTGTATTTACTTCATCATAAGTATGAAGCATTGGATGCCTTTAAAACATTTAAGGCTGAAGTTGAAAATCAATGCAAGAAGAAAATACAAATAGTTAGGTCAGAGAGAGGTGGTGAATATTATGGTAGATACACAAAAAATGGACAAGCTTTGGGTCCGTTTGCTAAATTCCTTCAAGAGCATGGGATTGTTGCCCAATACACCATGCCAGGTTCCCCGGATCAAAATGGTGTTGCTGAAAGAAGGAATCAGACTCTTTTGGACATGGTGCGTAGTATGCTAAGCAACTCCACACTTTCAAAATCATTGTGGGCCTACGCTCTCAAGACGGCAACGTATATATTGAACCGGGTTCCGACCAAGGCTGTCCCCAAGACACCTTTTGAGCTTTTCAAAGGTTGGAAACCGAGTTTGCATCATATGCGTGTTTGGGGTTGTTCGTCTGAGGTGAGGATTT